GTTAGCAGTGATTGGCTGAGATTTGGTTTAATGAGGCGGGCCCCACCAATGAAAATCGGGGGGGGGGAGGGGGGGGGGCAATTAGTGGAGGACACGCATGGAGGGTCCATAAAAGTCCGTTGTTTCCCTCCGTGCGTGTAGTATTATCGCCCCAGGGAGGATTGGGATATAGCATGGATATGACTGGTGGGGCCAATGTAGTGAGTTAGAGTATCGATTGATCCCATCCTAGATTATCTTTTTCCCGGTGCATCAAACGGATCCAGGGTTTAGTTTGACCAAGATCGATGAGTACAGGGTATCGATTTTAGAGATTTAAGGTTGATGATTCATTTGTGTCACACTATACAAGCTCATTAGCTCAGGGTTTAAAACAGACTTAACGAATGCTCCAGATTACATGAAGATGCGGTCTGTTCAGATAGAACTTGAAAGTTGAGCCGTATCTACCACAACTATACGCAGGGAAATCAATCGCAACAACTCCATGCCCTACACGTACGGGATTAAAACATATTTCAACAGGCTCCAGTTCATCGTCCGCGACATCAACCCAGCAACATTACTAGATCCGTAGGTCGCGCAGTTCACCCATGGCCAGGGTGCGCGGGACGGGTTGGATCTCACGCCGGCGGCCTCCTAAGGCGGTCCGCGGCGGCGGCGAAGACAGGATCAGCGCCCTCCCCGATGATCTCCTCCTCCTCATCCTGCGCCGCGTCGACACCCGCACGGCGCTCGGCACTGCGTCGCTGTCCAGGCGCTGGTCCCGCCTCCCCGCCGAGCTCCCCGCCCTGGACTTCAGTGTCTTCGACGTGCTCCCGGAGCGCTACTGCAGCTGGCTCCGCCTCCATCTCAGGATCGACGACGCCACGGATGAGAGTGTCCTGGCTAACTTGATGAGGTACGAGCGCCGCGCCATGCGCGCCCTAATCGGCTTCATCCAGAGCCGCCTCTTGTTGGACGCTCCCCGGAGGCTCCGCCGGCTGGGGCTCCAGTTCTTCTCCGCCGACAATAACAGCGGCCTCATCAACCGGCTCGTCGCCAAGGCCATCGACGACTGGGGGGTCAGCAATCTGGAGGCCGTCGCCGCGCCGTTCTACACGCAGCCGGCCGCCGCCCACGCCTTTCCCGGCTACGGCCTCTGCGAGCGTCCCTGCGCGTCGCGCCTGCGGAAGCTCAAGCTCGGGGGCTGCGCCGTGCTCCCGCCGCTTCACGAGCACGGCGCGCTCACCAAGCTCGTCCTGCAAGACATGCCGGAGTCGGTGCCTGTCGCGGCCTACGAGGCCGTGCTCGCCTCGTGCCCGCAGCTGCAGGTGCTGCACCTCGTGTGCTGCCTCTGCCGCGGCGCCGAGGTCATGACCGTCGACGCCCCAATGTCGCGGATCAGGGAGCTCGTCGTCGACAGGTGCGAGTTCCCGACGATGATACGCATGGCGGTCCTTCCCGGCCTCGAGAGGCTGGCCTCGCTCGGAACCAGGGTGTCCTTCGCGGAGTCCGCCTCGTTTCCCCGCCTCAGCCAGTGCAACCTCGCCTGGTTCTCCGATGCCCAGCCGACAAGGACGGTGCTCGACTTCCTCGTCCGACGGACCCCGGACATTGCCAGCCTTATGATCCGATTCACCGGACCGGAGAGGTGGATCGTGCCGTGGAGCCACCACCCGTCGTCGCTGCTGCCTAACCTGACAAGGCTACTGGTCGCCGACGTGCCTTCGTCCTGGGACGTCTCGTGGCCCCGGCTCCTCCTCGAGACGGCGCCTTCCCTCGAGACCCTGCATGTCCACGTCGCCGCCTGCGTGCAGGAGCCCGGCGAGGAGATAAGCTGGGGGGCTGCCGTGCCCCGGCACCATGGCCTCAAGGAGTTCGTGATGGCCGGTTTCGGGGGCACGGCGAGGCAGGTTTACCTTGTCAGGTTCGTCATGGGAGCGTGCACGGCGCTGCGGTGTGTCGCCGTGTTCAAGGAAGGGCATGCTCGTGACAAGGGGCACTGGGACTGGGAGATAGTGGTGCAGCCACACTCGTGGACCGACGAGGAGAGGAACAACTTGCTGGGCCAGATCATGGATGGCGCTTCTTCCTCGGCTGCCTCGGTTCAAATGGTTTTTGGCTGAGTTAGTTTTTCACGTGTGTTGTCTATGGCTCAATGGCTGGAACCTTCAATATGCGTCGGGTAGTTTAATGGTCCCTTGGGAAATACACTTTGATTCCTGGTTATATACACCCTATATGAGGATTTTTAAATAATTAAACAAAAAGGCAAAATAGTTCAGAAGTTTTTTAAAATAAAATTGACTTACTTTTGCTCGGGTATATATTTTTTACGAAAAAACAACATTGACTAACAAAAAAATTGTAAATGTTTCTAACAAAAAATTCAGTTTTTTTTTAAATTCCATTTTTTGATCTTACTGTTCACCCGAGCTCACATGAGCTCGGGATTAGAACAGCCACATCCCCATTATGGTCATGTACTCTCATTCACTCCAAAAAAACCTAGTGCTCCCTAGATTAGGAGCATCCGCATGTATCTCGGGCTGTGGGGGTCACTATGGACCCTGTCTGTAAGGCTGTGTGTCATTGGTTGAGAGTAACACACACCTAGTTGTATTGGGCCGACGGGTGTTTTTTGGTTTTTTGCAATGTATTACTTGTATTTTTCTTTCTTTTCTATTTATCCTTTTCTGTTTTTTTTATTAATTCTT